GGCGAGGCTGATGAAGCGGTAAGACATGCAGTTCAGCTTTTGAAGTACTTTACGTCATAATGATCAATTGTATATGAACATAATGAAAGGCCACTGATTTTCACATGTTCGTGTTTATATTATTTTTTTGCAGCCTGATACTATCACTGGGGACATAGTTTTTGTCTTGCAACAGAAGGAACATCCCAAGTTCAAGCGAAAGGGAGATGATCTTTTTGTAGAGCACACTTTGAGTTTGACTGAGGCCCTATGTGGTTTCCAGTTCATCTTGACTCACTTAGACAATAGACAGCTACTCATTAAGTCCCAACCTGGAGAAGTTGTCAAGCCTGGTAGGTCCACAGTACTTTAGTTGCTTATATATACCGAGCACACTGTCTGTATGACTATCTCCTGCTGTTTGTGGAAATGGGGTGTGTTCTTATTTGATGAAGGGAGCATCTTCTATGGCCAATAGTCCTCTGTATACATTATATGAGAATCTCTTTCGTATGTATCAATCATTAATTTTGTTTTTGGCTCTACAGATCAATTTAAGGCCATAAATGATGAAGGAATGCCAATGTACCAAAGGCCGTTTATGAGAGGAAAACTGTACATTCACTTTACTGTAGATTTCCCAGAGACATTATCCCTCGAGCAGTGCAAGAACCTTGAAGCGGTGTTGCCACCAAAACCCAAAACGCAAATGACTGATATGGAATTGGATGAGTGTGAGGAGACCACTTTGCATGATGTTAACATTGAAGAGGAGATGCGTAGGAAGCAGCAACAAGCCCAAGAGGCATATGACGAAGACGAAGACATGCATGGTGGCGCCCAGAGAGTTCAATGTGCACAGCAGTAATTTGGCACTGTTTTGGTAAACCAAAGTTGCATCAAGGAATTAACAGCATGGGTCTATTCTTGGTTTTTAAGTATTTGTATGACAAGATAATGACATTGTCAGGAATATTGCTTCTACAGTAAGATGTAGTTTACTAGCTTATGATTTGGAATTTTACGTTTGCTAATTAATTCTACAATTGCTGGGGTGCGGCAGATTTTAGCAATGTCCTTTTCTACGTATTTTGAATTATATAATAGGTGCATAGTTTGTTCCTAAAACAAATGACTGCAAGAATAGTATCTTGGACAGGTTATTCCAAATTAAATAATTGGCTGATGAGACCATATTTTGTACCATTATTAAATTATCATCCATTTATTATATACATTTTTCACATAAAAAAACGTATAGTGGGAGCCTTTCCTGATGGTCCGGCTCTGGCCCCCGCACATAAGCTTAGTGTACTGGTTGTCCTTTGCACTTTTATTATATACATTTTTCACATAAAACTCTAATCTTAATCTTCTGCTTTTTTTTCAGACCACCTTACTCGTCTTGACCTCTTTAACTCCAACAGAATTCATGCTATCCAAAACCTCCTCCTTATTCTTTGACGAACTATTGATTATTTCTTTGATAAAATATTCTTCCTTACTCTATACAAGTAGAATACAACACCAAGTTTCACATAAGAATTCATAGTTTTTTGTCTATTTTATCCTATCCCGTGTTATCGGATTATGTGTCTGTGGAGCATCACTTATAAGAAATCAGACTTTGGGGGGGGGGGGGGGGGATTGGGGATTTCTAGCTTAAATTTTTAATAATCTCGGAGTTCATAACGTAATTAAAGTGCTCGAAGGGTATAAGGACTTGGAGTACATCTATTTTATACGTAAGAAATTAGCAAGAAATATACAAGGATCTTGGTCACCAATGAAAGACAAGTAGGCCAGGGGTAGAGAAAATAAAAAGACTTTCTAAGTGACAAAATTTTTGCTTTTATTTAGAGTCAAAAAGTAGCATGGGTGCTAGCACGTTTATAATTAAATATAAGTGGGTCAGCCCCACTTCTTAGTATTTCCCTACTTTGCAGAACCTTAGGATGGCTTAAGGGAAAGCTGTTTTAAAACCTCATTAGCTCTAGAACCAAATTAAGAAAAAAAAAAAGATGCGAAAGACTTACTTGTGCCTGACGACCGCGTTAAGGATTAACAAAGAAGAACAATTGTTTGATCTGTTGCTTGGGTTATTATTGTTTGAGGATACATAATTAGTGTGAGCAGAGAACTAGAAAGTTTGAAAATTTTCTTGTGCAATTCAACCAATAATTAGGTATGTAGATATATAATCTTATCCTTGTAGTATGCCTTGGATTACATTAGGATTGATGTGAATATCAAATTCTTTAGAATGATGACAAGAAGTAAATTGAAAGCAATTTGATAATTCTAAACCCATTTGAGTTGCTGCTAGATTTTTTTTGAGATTGGGAACAAGATTAGAAATATTAAAATAATGGAGAAATTATTTTCATCTAATAATGGATAAGGCTTTAAGGGTAAAGTGATGATCAGATTTGAATGTTGCTAGAGTATTTGGATTATTATTAGGGCCATAGGTTTTGGATGGTGTTATTTAAGTACAGACATGTAATATTTTTGATACTAAAATATATTTCTTCCTTTCCATATACCAAGTGGTCAAGGATATTACAGCAGTAAGCTTGACAGAGAAATATATATTTTTTCCCATTAAGTGTCGATTATGTTGAGTAATTCATAATTTAAAAATTAGTTCAATTGGTGGTGAATTGAACTTGTTAAGTATGTCCTAATGATCCTAGCCAAAATATTTATAGATCGTGAGTTGTTGAACTCCCGCGAAGTTTGAAAGGACGAATTGAAGTTAAGACTTGAGGTGAGTTGAGGTTTATTTTCCTAGTAGGAAATTCCATTATAAATATGTTAGATAAATCTAAGTCATATCTTCTCGTGATCCAATACTCAGTTCACTGATTCTTATTCAGTACGATATTATATGTGACATGAATACATGCTTATGTGTATTACCAATTGTTATGTGCCTTTATTTGTGATATTCACATTCAGTAGGGAGAAGTGGCCAACCTCCCCCAGCGTGAGTGCCATGATGTCAGGGTTACCTACCTCACGCTTGCAGGTGCTAACTGTTTGTTGGGGAGGTAGGCCGACACTCCCCCGTACGTGTTCCCAGATGCTCACGTACGCAGGGCCATTATGTGTAACAATTAACTTTGCAAAGTCACATCTTAAAATATATATAACTTAGTTTCTATTTCAGGTATCAGTTATGGGCTCAATTTCTACGTTAAGTTTTAGTTTCAGCTTACAGTTTCAGTTTCCAGCTTATTATTTGGTTGTAAAATTTTATATGATTTATATGATTTTTGGTTCTCTTTTCTTTGTTATATTTTCCAGAAGGTCTCGCTCCGCCTTTTTAGGAGGTGGCCTATGAGACTTAGTGGGTATCTTTTGGTGGTACTTAGCCCGTTTGGGCCTGCTACGTTGTGTGGCAGATATTGAGGATGCAGGTAACGAGGCATATGGCTAGAGAAGATATTCTAGATTCAGTTTACAGACTCCGTTAATTCACCCCAGTGGTAGCGAATCCTTTTCAAACTATTATTTATATCTTTTTTTTTTCTTTACGTTTATTTTATTTTCGGGGATGCCCCGGTAGGCTATGTATTTTAATTTTTTTTTTTCAGATTCTAGATGCTCATGACTTGTTAGTGGGTCAGTATTAAAATAGTTTGGGATTTATCCTTTATTTATTAATTTTATCAGTCAGATTAAGAACTGCAACTTGATTAGAATTAATATTTAAGCACGTAGATTCTTTGCTATTGAACTTGAAGTTTTATACAAATAGTACAGGGTTCACTCAACGAGTGGTAAGGGTTGAGTACCAATCACGTCCCATCCCAGTTTGGGAGCGTGACAAGTTGGTATCAGAGCAACCAGGTTTGAGAAGTCCGAGGGAGTCATGAGCCGTGTCTAGTAGAGTCTCATTTTTAGGTATGTTGTGCACCATACTTATATCTGGGAGGCTGCAGGATATGTTAGGAAGATTTCTTTTCTTTGACTCTTACATCGTGCGTTAGAGCTAAACGTTTCAGAATTCTAACACCCATTTATCTCTCGTTTTAGCGCAAAGAAGATGGTTAGAACAAGATCAACTTCATCCTCTGCCGCTAACAATGTTGAGATACTAACTTCTAATCATCAAGAAGCAGCACCAGAGGTGCAAGCTGCACCAATAGCACCAGTTGCAGTTAGAGGACGTGACATAGGTAGAGGTAGAGGTCAAAATGCTAGGGGTAGAGGTGAAAATACATAGGTAATCATGCTCGTGGTAGGGCCACTAGACAGGAACAAGCTCTACCTCAGCAGGTTGTTAATGATCGGGTACCACCACATCAGCAGGATAATCGAATTGACAGAATTTTGGACTTTCTGGAGTCCCTAGCCCCTCCGGCTGGTGGTCGGGCTGCACGTGTTCATGCTCCTCCTCAGGACCCTCATGATTCAGATGAAGAGGTTATAGGAGATGATTTTCAAGCTCCACTAGAGGTACCACCACCAATTGTCCCTGTAAATATTGCCTAGACAGTGCAGTTACCAACAGGAAAAATTGATCCACATGCCTTTCTGAGATTAAACCCTCCTACTTATAATGGTACAGATAAATCAAATGAACCAATGTTATTTTTGGAAGAGATACAGAAAATGTTTGTTTCTTTGGGTTGTCTTGAAACATAAGCCACAAAGTTGATTGGGTTTCGATTGAAGGTTGCAACAGGACAATGGTGGAGAGGTTACAAAAAGGCCAGAGATTCTACATTACCGCCACTTACTTGGCCCCAGTTCAAAGAAGCTTTTAGGGCCAAGTTTTTGCCTAGCAGTCGGATGGATGAGTTTCGACGTCAGTTCGAACATCTTAAACAGGGTACCATGTTGTTGACTGAATATGAGATAGAATTTACAAAATTGGCAGAGTATGCACCTAATTTGATACCGACAGAGAGAGAAAAAGTGAGAAGGTTCATTGAAGGCTTGAATCCACATATGGCAAAAGATATGACTTCATATCAGGATGACAAAACTTATCTTCAGGTTGTCAGTATCGCTACGCGTAAGGAGGCTTTTGATAAAATCGCCAGGGAAGCTAGAGATAACAGCAAGAAGGCTAGAACAATAGGTATTTATAGTGGATTTTCAGTTGGCGGTAAGAACATGAATCATTCAGCTCACATTCGATCAACGGCTCACTCATCTCCTTATCCAGCTCCACTCAGACATGGCCTGCAGAGTAAGGGTCAGGCCCCTCAGGGGAAAAGTTCAACTAGTCAGGGCCAACCTCGGTTCTCATATCCTATATGTCCTTCGTGCAGCAAAAGACATCCAGGAAAATGCCTTTTGGGCCAGAAAGGTTATTTTCACTGCCATGATCCGGGTCATATTAAGAGAGACTGTCCACGGCTTGGACAAGCTCCAGGGAAGGCTCCAACTACTCAGGCAACATTCATAGGTAATTCTGAAATTGCACCTCCTCCAATTCGGGAACCTAATACTCAGACTGGGCGTGGTGCCAATAGAGGTGGAGCTTAGGGAGGAGGCGGACCAGCCGGATTCTATGCAGTTCTAGATAGGCAGAATGCGGAGGCATCTAACAAAATTATTACAGGTATTCTCTTAGTTTGTGGTCGCCCTGCTTATGTATTAGTCGATCCTGGTTCAACTTTCACCTATGTGTCTCCTTATTTTTGTGTAGAGTTTGGAAAAGCACCAAAACAATTAGGGGCTTTGTTTGAGGTTTCCACACCCATAAGGGAATCTGCTAAAGTTGAATATATATTCAAAAATTGCATCATCACAGTTTAGGGACGGGAAACATTAGCCGATTTAAACTTATTAGATATGGTTGACTTTGATATCATAGCTGGTATGGACTGGTTATCTTCTTGTCATGCTATAGTTGATTGTCACACGAAGACAGTTAAATTCTCATTTATTGGGGAAGATCCAGTTATAATTAGAGGTGAAGTGGGTACGCATGTAGGTAAGTTTATTTCTTACCTTAAGGCTAGAAAACTAGTGAGCAGCGGGTGTTTGGCGTATCTAGCACATGTGCGGGATATGAAAGTTGACTCCCCAATGCTTGAATCAGTACAGATTGTGAAAGAATTTCCAGAGGTGTTCCCGGATGATCTCCTAGAGATACCACCAGATAGGGAGATTGAGTTTGGCATAGACACATTGCCAGGAACTCAACCAATCTCGATTCCTCCTTACAGAATGGCTCCAGCTGAGCTAAATGAACTTAAGAAGTAGTTATAAGACCTCTTAGATAAGGGTTTTATTCGACCTAGTATTTCACCCTGGGGTGCTCTAGTGTTGTTCGTGAAGAAAAAAGATAGTCTCCTACGGATGTGTATAGACTACCGCCAGCTGAATAAGGTTACTATCAAAAATAAATATCCACTACTCAAGATAGATGACTTATTTGATCAGTTACAAGGTGCTAGGTATTTCTCAAAAATAGATCTGAGGTCGGGATACCATCAGTTGAAAATCAAAGAAGCAGACATCCCGAAAACAGCTTTCAGGACTCGGTATGGTCACTATGAATTTTTAGTAATGTCCTTTGGATTGACCAATGCACCGGCGGCTTTTATGGACTTAATGAACAAAGTCTTCAAGCCTTTCTTAGATGCCTTTGTTATTGTATTTATCGATGATATTCTGGTATATTCTCGTAGCCAAAAAGAGCATGAGAATCATCTGAGAACAGTTCTTCAAATACTCAAGGAGCGTCAGCTTTATGCCAAATTTTTCGAATGTGAATTTTGGCTCGATACAGTTACATTTTTGGGACACGTGGTCTTGAGAGAAGGCATTAGAGTAGACCCACAGAAAATAGAAGTAGTTAAAAGTTGGCCTAAGCCGGCGACCCCTATAGAGATTCGCAGTTTTCTAGGATTGGCAGGTTACTACCGTCGTTTTGTAGAAGGGTTCTCTTTACTAGCTGCCCCATTGACAAAGTTAACTCAGAAAGATGTAAATTTTCAATGGTCTGAAGCTTGTGAGAAAAGTTTTCAAGAACTCAAGAATAGGTTGACTACAGCCCCAATCCTGACTCTACCTAGCCCTACAGGTGGATTTGTGATCTATTGTGATGCTTCCAGAGTGAGGTTAGGATGTGTTCTTATGCAGAATGACAAGGTAATTGCTTATGCTTCTAGGCAGTTAAAGAATCATGAGAGAAATTATCCTACCCATGATCTTGAGCTAGCGGTAGTTATTTTTGCTCTAAAAAAATATGGCGTTACTACCTTTATGAAGAGCAATGTGACATTTATACAGATCATAAAAGTTTGCAGTATATATTCAAGCAGAAAGAATTGAACCTGAGATAACGCAGGTGGTTGAAATTACTTAAGGATTATGATTGCAATATCCTTTACCATCCAGTCAAAGCGAATATGATTGCTGATGCTCTGAGCAGAAGATCCATGGGGAATTTGGCCAGGTTGTCTTTGGTCGAACGTCCAATAGTAACAGAAGCCCAACAAATAGCTAGCCAAGGGGTTCGTCTTGATGAGAAGTGTGATGGAAGGTTGATAGCAAGTATGGGTGCTAAGTCTACTTTAATAGAGCAAGTTAAAGCCAAACAATTCGATGATGCTAGCTTGCTTAAGCTCAAGGAAGGTGTCCTTAGTGGCAAGATTTAGAATTTTTCACTTGATGAGAATGGTGTGATGAGACTTAGTGGTTGCTTATGCGTGCCTAATATAGATGATCTTTGAAGAGCAATTATGGTAGAAGCTCATAGCTCTAGATACTCAATACACCCAGGTTCTACTAAAATGTATCATGATTTGAAGGATATTTATTGGTGGGATAATATGAAGCGAGAAATTGCAGATTTTGTATCATGGTGCCTAAACTGTCAGCAAGTAAAAGCTGAACATCAGAGACTAGGAGGATTGGCTCAAGTCATTGAAATACCATAATGGAAATAGAAACGAATAAATATGAATTTTGTGGTTGGTCTACCGCGAACTTTTAAGAAACATGACTCTATTTGGGTCATAGTAGACCGACTCACTAAGTCAGCTCATTTTTTTCCAATCAAAACAACCTACACAACACCCCAGTATGCAGCATTATACATAAAAGAATTTATTCAGTTGCATGGTTCTCTTGTGTCCATTATTTCTGACAGGGGTGCTCAGTTTATTGCCCAGTTTTGGAAGAGTTTTCAGGAAGGTCTCGGTACTCGAATTAATCTAAGTACAACCTCTCACCCTCAAACAGATAGGCAGGCTGAGAGGACAATTCAGACCTTAGAAGATATGTTACGAGCACGTGTTCTCGATTTTAAAGGAAATTGGATGATCATCTGCCTTTGATTGAGTTCGCATATAATAACAGTTATCAAGCAAGTATTCAGATGGCCCTCCTATACGGGAGGAGGTGTTGTTCACCTATCGGATGGTTTGAGATGGTGAAACGAAGCTTATTGGGCCAAACATAGTACAAGATGCCTTGGAAAAGGTGAAACTAATTCAGGAATGACTTAAAATAGCTCAAAGCCGATAAAAGTTATACGCAGATATAAGATGCCGCGATCTTGAGTTCAAAGTAGGTGACTATGTATTTTTAAAGGTATCTCCAATGAAAGGCATCATGAGGTTTGGTAGAAAAGGGAAGCTTAGCCCGAGATATATAGGGCCTTATCCGATTCTTGAAAGGATTGGGCTTGTGGCGTATCGTCTAGCTTTACCTCTAGAGTTATCTTCAGTGCATTCAGTGTTTCATGTGTCCATGCTGAAAAAGTACTTTCACGACCTGAGTCATGTAATTGATAGGCAGGACATAGAGTTTGATGATACTCTGTCATATGAGGAGGTCCCTGTAGCTATAATAGACAGGCAGGTTCGTAGACTTCGAACCAAAGATGTTGCTTCGGTAAAAGTAATAAGGAGCAACCATTCAGCTGAGGAAGCTACGTGGGAGCCATAGGAAGCCATAAAGGAAAAGTATCCCTATTTATTCGAGATTTCAGGTACATAATTTATTTAATACTTTAAAATAATTAGATTGGTAAGTTATGGGATATTTGTGCTTATAGTAATGTAAAGCGGCTTTAGCGGGTATATTGGTATGCCTTAATATTATATTTTATTGGATTGAGTAGCTGGAGGTACGAAATGTTATTGTTGGGTTACTTGGAAAGGTTAAAAATTTTGGATAGCTCCAGTTACAAAGGAAACTCTGCCGAAAGTTTTGAAAATTTTAGGAGTTAGTCAAATTTTGGGGTCCTAAAATCTTTCTTTTTGACTAAAGAATAATTACGACACAACATTCGAGGACGAATGTTCCTAAGTGGGGGAGAATGTAAAGCCCCATAAATTTCTAGCTTAAAATTTTAATAATCTCGGAGTTCATAATGTAATTAAAGTTCTAGAAGGGTATAAGGACTTGCACAATTTAAGCGAAGTATTTGGGATAATATGCATATAAGATATGAACTAATATGGTAGGACGGATACTTAAGAATAAATAAAATCTTGTTTGCTCACTACGTTGAAATGCAACACTGGATGCATTTGTCCTTATAATGGCAATACGATGATGTATGTAAAAGGAGTACATCTATTTTATATATAAGTAATTACTAATTAGCAAAAAATATACAAGGATCTTGGTCACCAATGTAAGACAAGTGGGCCAGGGGTAGAGAAAATAAAAAGACTTTCTGAGTGGCAAAACTTTTACTTTTATTTGGAGTCAAAAAGTAGCATGGGTAACAGCACGTTCAACCAAATTTGCATATAATTAAATATAAGTGGGCCAACCCTACTTCTTAGTATTTTTCTTCTTTGAAGAACCTTAGGATGTCTTAAGGGAAAGTTATTTTAAAACCTCATTAGGTCTAGAATCAAATTAAGAAAAAAGAAGAAGTTGCAGAATACTTACTTGTGCCTGACGACCGCGTTAAGGATTAATAAAGAAGAACAATTGATTGATCTGTTGCTTGGGTCATTATTGTTTGAGGATACATAATTAGTGTGAGTAGAGAACTAGAAAGCTTGAAAATTTCTTTGTGCAATTCAACCAATAATCAGGTATGTAGATATATAATCTTATCCTTGTAGTATGCCTTGGATTACATTAGGATTGATGTGGATGTCAAATTCTTTAGAATGATGGCAAGAGGTAAATTAAAAGCAATTTGATATTTCTAAACCCATTTGAGCTGATGCCAATTTTTTTTTTTTTGAGATTGGGAATATGATTAGAAATGTTAAAATAATGAAGAAATTATTTTCATCTAGTAATGGACAAAGCTTTAAGGGTAAAGTGAGGATCAGATTTGAATGTTGCTAGAGTATTTGAATTATTATTAGGATCACGGGTTTTGGATGGTGTTATTTAAGTATAGACATGTAATATTTTTGATACTAAAATATGTTTCTTCCTTTCTATATACCAAGTGGTCAAAGATACTGTAGCAGTAAGCTTGACAGAGAAATATATATATTTTTTTCACATTAAGTGTCGATTATATTGAGTAATTCATAATTTAGAAATTGGTTCAATTGGTGGTGAATTGAACTTGTTAAGTATGTCATAATGATCCTAGCCAAAATATTTGTAGATCGTAAGTTGTTGAACTCCCGCAAAGTTTGAAAAGACGAATTGAAGTTAAGACTTGAGGTGAGTTGAGGTTTACTTTCCTAGTAGGAAATTCCATTATAACTCTTGTGCTCGATATGTTAGATAAAGCTAAGTCATGTCTTCTCGTGATCCAATACTCAATTCACTTATTCTTATTCAGTACGACATTATATGTGACATGAATACATGCTTATGTGTATTACCAATTGTTATGTGCCTTTATTTATGATATTCACATTCAGTAGGGAGAAGTGGCCAACCTCCCCCAGCGTGAGTGTCATGATGTCAGGGTTACCTACCCCACGCTCGTAGGTGCCAACTGTTTGTTGGGGAGATAGGCCGACACTCCCCCGTACGTGTTCCCAGATGCCCACGTACGCAGGGCCATTATGAGTAACAATTAACTTTGCAAAGTTACATCTTAAAATATATATAACTTAGTTTCTATTTCAGATATCAGTTATGGGCTCAATTTCTACGTTAAGTTTCAGTTTCAGCTTACAGTTTAGCTTACAGTTTCAGTTTCCAGCTTATTACTTGGTTGTAAAATTTTATATGATTTATATGATTTTCCGTATATCCCTTTTCTTTCTTATATTTTCCAGAAGGTCTCGCTCCGCCTTTTTAGGAGGTAGCCTATGTGACTTACTGGGTATCCTTTGCTGGTACTTAGCCTGTTTGGGCCTGCTACATCGTGTGGCAGATATTGGGGACGCATGTAACGAGACACATGGCTAGAGGAGATATTCTAGATTCAGTTTATAGACTCCGTTGATTCACCCCAGCGGTAGCGAACCCTTTTCATACTATTATTTATATCTTTTTTTTCTTTACGTTTATTTTATTTCCGGGGATGCCCCTGTAGGCTATGTATTTTAATTTTTTTTTTTAGATTCTAGAGGCTCATGACTTGTTAGTGGGTCAATATTAAAATAGTTTGGGATTTATCTTTTATTTATTATTTTTATCAGTCAAATTAAGAACCGCAACTTTATTAGAATTAATATTTAAGCACGTTAGATTCTTTACTATTGAACTTGAAGTTTGATACAAATAATACATGATTCACTCAACGAGTGGTAAGGGTTGAGGGCCAATCACGTCCCATCCCAGTTTGGGGCGTGACAGTGGATATATGAGAATGCATTGTATTGGGTTCGAACTATATGTATATAATTTGAACGCTCCTTAAAGAATATATATTTTTACTAAATTTTAATCCACTTATCCAAAAAAAAAGTAACGGATGCATTGTACACTATACCATACTGACTTAAAATCTTTAATCACTTGATCTTAGCACCTGCCGGCTTTCTTTTATTTTTGTATTCTCGTTCTCTGCAATTTCCTTTGTTCTTCTTTTCTTTAATATTCCTCTTACAAGGAGAGGAAGAGTTCTCTTTCATATGGATTATGACACATCTTGAAAACAACTATCCAAACAAATAAAAACCTCCAAAGAATTTGGTTATAAATCCAAGAAACCTTTGGCTAATATAACAAACAAAAAGTCATAGTTGTAACTTTGTAAGCAATATAAAAGCAATGTGAAAAAAATAAAGCAATATAAAAGGGGACTTAATTAATGCCTTTGGGAAGATTCATCTTGATTAGTTGTAAAAATACAAGGTTAACAAAGTAAACATGGACCAAAACCAAACATCGTCAACGGTAATCATAGACGACCAAACTCAAACACCATCAACAACAACTATAGACCAAAACCAAACACCAGCACCAGCACCAGCAGTGTCACCTGTGGTTGGCTTGTCAATGTCATTAGTGGTATCTCTAGTGATGAGAGTTCTTACATTTATTTTGTTGTTGATATCATTGATTATCATTGCCTCTGCCAGTTTTGATACATTTGATATCTATGGTTTTCCAATCACGGTTAAGTCCAATGACTTCTATGGTTATCGGTAAATTACCTTTCCCCTTAACTTTTATATATTGACAACGTAAAGAATATTTAAGGGGTTGTTTAGCTTACAGTGTAGTTATGCGGGGTTTATAATGCATACAATGATAATTTATGAGGCTACTAATATTGAGCTAAATGTTATACAATTAATAATATAGGGTTTGTTAAGCGGGAGCAACAATATATCATAAATGCTAGGTAAGAATTACCTACTTTTGTGGCATTTTGTCCTTAAATATTTTAAGTCACTATAGATAAGACACGTACTTATAATTTATATTTTAACTCTGCATAAAATAATACACACCATAACTTAATGCGATTATAAAATTATGAAGCAATTAATTTTTCCTACATACGGCCAACCAAATTGCATTAGTTATATAGAGAGTATTATCATCCCCTCCAACCCAATGACCCCTATGTATAATATAACTTGTTTTAACAGGTTATTACTAATCTTTCTAGTCATGAGTAATCACCTGTAGTTATTTTTTAAATGGTCTGATATTTTAAAACTCTTTTATAATATAAGTTAAACTCGTTCGTTTATGACGAATTACAGCGGAGGATCCAATATTTTTAGTTAGTGGGTGCTTTAACTTTTTTAACATATGGTGAAAAACGAGACCTAACTGGGGTAAAACAAAAAGTTAAAAAAGGGCTTGTTATGAGTGAGATTCCAACTCTCATTCCTCACTTCATTAAAGCCTTCAATACCCTTTCTTAACCAAAGCATCTATTAGATCTTTTATTTTTTGAGTGCTTCTTGTCGTATTATATCAGTTTTCTTAATTTTTTATATAATTACAATATACTCCGAGACCGAGTTGAGGTTAATGGCTGCTCGAGCACCCAAATTTTTACATATAGATTCTCCCCTGACGAATTATTCCTACCTGAAGTTGGAAACATAGACCAAATAGTCGTTCATTAGCCTTACTAATCAAATGCATTATAAGAAAATTGGATATTTAACACTTCTAAAGGAAGAATGAATAATGTGTAGATATGCTTTTACTAATCCTAATCTTTATATTTGTTGAATTTCTTGGGGTGCAGTTATATGATATCGGCAGATGTGATTGGAATGGCCTATACCCTGCTATTAGCTGTGTTAACAATCTCCCATTTGATCACATCTGGAAGTCCCATTGGCAGTGGCCTTGCCTATTTTGAATTCTATGGCGATAAGGTAAGGTCAATCAACTGGGATTCTTCAAAAATGAAAATTGAAAATTAATCCAATTAGCCCCCCAAAAGAATAACACGATTCGAAATATTTGAGGAATATTTTTTTCCACTTCCAGCCAAAATTTCATGAATGGTTATTCAACTCACCAAACTCATAAAACTAATTTTCGGAATTAAAAAAAATAGTATTAAATATGTGTACATGCCACAGAAAATGAAGAAAAAAAATGCCGAATTTTTTTTTAACTTGATCCCAAGAACATATATAGGTTGTCACTTCAACAACTTATCTTACCTAATACCGCTTGGCACCTCTTAAAAATAAAAATAATCTACTTTCTCATACATTTTTTTTTATTTATAAAAAAACTCTTAATGTGCCACATGTTGAAAGACATCAAGTATTAGGTCGGATAAAAAAAATATTTTTATTTTATTTCTCTAAAATGGTGTACCGTGAATATTATACAAGGTGAGTTGCGGAGATAACTATACTTACATGTAACAATTTTATACATGTGGCGGCCTACTTGCTTTTACGGTACCGATTTAGCATTTTCCAGACTTTTAATGTTTTGTTATATATATATATATATTGCATAGTTGAGTTATTTTATTGTCACAAAAATTAATTTATATATATAGTATGATAAATTGAAAGTTGGATGACTATGCATGAAACTGAGATATGGAGGTGCAGGTTGTCTCATTCATATTGGCTACTGGAGCTGCTGCTGGATTAGGACTCAGTGTGGATTTTAACAGATTTCTGGACACTGGCAAAGATATACAAAATTTTATTAACATGGCAAATGCTGCTGCTAGCCTGCTTCTTCTTGGATCTGTTTGCTCTACCATTTCCTCATTCATTTCTTCTCTCAATCTTCCAAGGAGATCAAAAGCTTGAAGATCTAGTACTAATCTTGAAGATTCTGAAGACACATATTTCAAAATTTTTGATTATGTTAGGGGCCATGATATTGCAATTCACAGTATTTTTTTTTTCTTTCAAAATTTTGGTTCTTGTTTTTTGTTTAAATTGATAAGATATGAATAAATTGCATGGATGCTTGAGATGGCGTGTGCAAGATTTTCTATAAGCGGTGTGAACAAATAAATAATTACAATAACATCTTATTTAAAAAAAACAATACAAAACATTAGTACAACTCTCTACAGTGAGTTTTTATTTATTGGAATGTGTCCATAATAGCCTCAGAAATGTCTTTTTCCAGATCCCGTCCAAACATACCAACACATCCCAAAACACGACACTGACTTAGTCGAGACCTCAAATCACGCCAAACAACATCGAAACTACGAATCGACGATCAAAATCCTTCTTTAAACTTTCAAACTTCGACTAACGCGTCCGATTCATATCAAAACATTCCGGAATGACGCTAAACTTTGCGCACAGGTTATAAATCATAATACGAACCTATTCCAAGGCTCGAAATCCCAAACGGACATCGACAATACCAAAGTCCACCTCAAACCAAACTTAGAAAATTCTAAAGCCTTCCAAATGCCAACTTTCCACAATAAGCGCCGAAATACTCCCAGGTGATCCGATACTCAACCCGAACATACGCCCAAGTCCGAAATCATCATATGAACCTATTGGAACCTTCAAATCCTGATTCCGAAGTCGTTTCCTCAAAATTCAAACGTTAGTCAATTCTTCCAACTTAAAGCTTCAGAAATTAGAATTTTCTTTCCAAATCAACTCCAAACACCGAAATTCAACTCCGACCGCACGTACAAGTCATAATACCTGAAATGAAGCTACTCAAGGCCTCAAATCGCTGAACGATGTGCTAGAGCTTAAAACGACCGGTCGGGTCATTACATTCTTCCCCACTTAAACATACATTCGTCCTCGAACGTGCCAAGAACTGCTCCGGAGTTGTCCAAAATTACTATTTAATACCTCGTGTACCTGCCCGTGCCACCACTATCTAGTTGAGCATATTAGCTCGAACTAGACTGAAGAACCTCCCTATAACCTTAGCTAACAAGCTTTAGAACCATGTTCCAACTTCCGAATTTCTCTACAAAACTTGATTCTAACATACGAACATCGTATCAATCACTATACCAAAACATGATCATGCACCTTTGGTAAAATCACACCATGCACCACATAAGTCGGTTGCCCATAATAACATCCTCCGACCACAATAGCTGAAATTTTATGAATCTGATGCCCGCAATATGCCTCATAACACATGTGAGTCCTATTCCAATTCTCGCAATACCGCCACGACGAAAGAGATGTGTAGAAACTTATAACCACCTGCTAAATCAATAAATCATGGAGTTTCTCCTCCTGACAAGAACCATTACCTCATTCTGAACTGAATAATGATATTTTCTCTTTAATGTACCTTCTATAAATCTGATTGCACTAATTCCAGGTCCAATAATCTCATCTCACCCAGTACAAACTGCTCAGGCAATGAGTCACCTCAAACACTGACCAAGATCTTATGCAGCACCATCAAAGCGACAACAAGCTACCACTCGAATATAACTCATAAGGAAGAACGAACTCTGACAGGGAGTTACCCAGCCTGCGTAACGAATAAAACAGACGAATAGATGCTATGAACCTACCTCATGGATGAAAAACAAGGCACCCAAAATAAGTGTAAGGAACTATACTCAACATCTCGATGTTGCGGCGTGCAACCCGATCCAATATGACACTGTTACGGTGTGCAACCCGATCCACACAACATGCCCATGGCAGCATGCCACCCGATCCAAACCATATACCCGTGGCGGCATGCCACCCGATCCAAACCATATACCCATGGCGGTGTGCCACCCGATCCGCACATAAAAATCAAGAAGAAAAACAAACATCAAGACGTAGCGCTTATACTTACGAAATGCCTGAATATTGACCACGAGCATGCCAAGTGCATAATACAAATCCTGGGGAGACGGATAGCACCATACGCTACGAAACCCAAGCACAACTAAGGTGCAATAAATGACTTGAATCTCGAGAGCCACCCTGCTCATATAATACCACAAGCTACATGGGACCACCACACATGTGCGAATAATCAAGTTGTCTCACAACCCACATGGCACAATTGAGATTACACAGAATAGCTGACGACGGGAATAATATCTGATGCCCGACGACTCCTCCGTAAGCATTGCTATGACGAATGAACATATCCGACCTGCCGTAGAGCACCCATTCACATTAGACCCATCAACAGACCTCAAACCGATTCTAATCACACCATACTGGGCCAATAACCTTCCAAGGATCCACAACGGTCCTATTCATGACACATAAGAACGATCGTCAAATCCAGAACAAACTCACATAATCCACCACCCAAGGAATAGAATGCCTCCCCAGCATAAACTCTCACGTTAGCGCTAGTACTAGAATCTCCATACTTGGTTCCAATTATAACCATCAATTGACTAACCAGTCACACTTATAGAAATTCACCCGTGGGATACGCTCCCACAACCTTCCGCACCAGGTGACAAAGTCTGCACATCCATACCACCAACCGTACTAATTCAGTAAAGCAAATCAATACACCAAGCCTCTTACACAGGACACTGTCCTCAGGTGGCACTAAAGAAAATGCCATCTTACTCTGAACATCTGAATTCTCCCCTGCTCATCCGAGCTCGTGACATTCTTGTCAACACTGAACCACAACTTTGATCCTCAACTTTCAAATTCCCATGCCGCTCACTACACCTATCATCCCGTTACGAGAGAATACAAGAATTTATCATAACCCCTAAACTACCAGTAGAATGAACACTTCCTTGGCTAGGAACCTTTCACTTAGCTCATTTCAGAAGAGCCAATGCAATACACAACTAAATTCCCAAATCGCAAAAAATACAACCCTCAAGTCGTGATCTAAACCGCCATGACTCCTCCGGAATCCATTTACACCACAAGGTCATTTGAATCAAATACCTCTCAAATTAATCAAGTTATGGTGGCTGTCAAGCACGCGCGTACAACCACAAACCACATGTATAACTTCACACGCTGAAGGAACTAATCATTGACACAATCATACTGATTCCACTATTACAAACGACCCAACTTTCAATACTGCACCGCATACCCGATGATAACATAGAAATTCCAAGTCCTGTTCGTCATCCATTGCGAAAACTTACTCCTTAACCACACAACGGACCCGAAATCCTTAGGCACTGCACTTTTATTCTTGAACCCACTAGAATCGTTGTTGAGAGTCACTCACTCTGACCTGGTCCCCAATATAACTAAACTCCAATGCTCTGCTAGCACATGAACACCCTCTCGAAGAAGAAACCGGTTGAACTCTTTTCCTTGTATATCACATCCACAAAACCACAAACCCTATGTCTTCCCAAAAAATTGAACATGAATCGATAAATCCAAATATAACGCACATCCATCAAGTTCTTTGCCCGAATTACCCCTGATGTTTTTATTCCTCAGTCATAATAACCCACCAATACACCGATAACCAAAAACCACATAAGCAGACAACCACTCGATCCAATCATAGACGGTGGGGCTCCCCCATTTAGCTTAAAGCTACAATTACATAAACCTAGAACCCACCAAGATTCCTCCTTCTCAATTACCATGATCTTGCACATTTAACCCACCAAATTTCTTGTAGTCTCTTGTTAAGCTTCTTATGAACATTCCGAATTATCAGTCGCAATCGCATATTTGACCTTCTGTCGGATAGTAAGTAGAACTCTTCGCAGAAACTTCATTAGAATCACGCAACTGCTAATCTGCTCACAGGAGATCACCCACCTGTGGAATTCCTTACCGACATCTTCTAACGACGATGCACTGGGTACAACTACCAGGAAATCAGTAACTCTCCTGAGCCCATGCTCGTCCACCAGCTGTACAAGTATGTTCCTCCCCCATTGACATCAATTGAAAGTCCAACAATACCTTGCAAACTCAAAGTCACGTTGTATCCGAAATGATAATCAAATCTTTACACACCTCTTCATTTCAAGCAAACTCTTTTCTGCTATATTCAATCTTTCTCCGTACAGTAACCACCATTCCAAATATAATCCGTGGACCTAGTCACTTTCCACCATGCCTCCCAAATCTCTTTAATCTTCCTCAAGGCATGCGGCTATCCTGCCACGGAATCCATATGCTAATCTGCCACTGTTAATTCGGTTAAACCATCTCTTTTAAGCAACTTCTCGACCTCTATTTTTCATACTTGACCTACTAATAATTCAACCACCGTGAGACACCTCCCGCCATGCCTTCCTCATACCTTGCTGCCCAGATGTTGCCCCAAATCAATCCATACCTGTAGCACTTGCACTAATGAATTACTACCAACTCTAAACCTTCTACAAGATCATCTTTCTTAAGCCATTAGCTTCTGAAGCACTGGTTCAATTCTAAAATCGCTACACACCGCCATTCTATGACAACCGCTTCTTAGGCGCCAATTCCCAACATCCTGCCCCGAAGGCAAATCGAAGAAGACCATAACACCGGCAAACCTTAGTGCGTTCAAACAAGGACGATGACACCTCATCACAAATGAGAATTCCACCACACTCGAAAATATCTAGTCTCGCTACTCCATCAACCAAAGCCTGAGCATTCATAGACTGATTGTCTTTCCTCAGCTGGATTTAAATGCTAAACCCATAAACCATGCACTAAGAAATCCTCCCTTCACGTCATTCACTGCCTCAACACATAAACGAGCACCCTACCATTACACCAACATTGTGCGATAACAACGCGTGAACATCATAGCAATTTGTGCATAGCCTCAAAACCATCAAAAATACAGCTACTGAGCTGAAATGACAAAATATCCTTTTGCAAGGCGACGATAATAGCGCACCGGAACACGCAAG